AGAATAGGCAAATTCATAGAAACAGAAAATAGACTAAGGGTTATAAGGACCTGGGAGGAATTTCTTTATGAGATGAAAATTTTCTAAAATAGGATAGTGGCAAGGTTTATACAACTCAGTGAATATACTAAAAGCACTGAGTTTTACATTTCAAAATGATGAATTTTATGGCAGGGGAACTATATCACAATAAGAAAGGAGGAGGGGAGCTCCCCGGTGGCGCAGTGGTTGAGCGCTGGGTTGCGAAGCTGCCTGCAGCCTCTGCAGTGCCAGTTCGATCCCCAGCCGCCGGCGAGGGTCCCACATGGTACACAGACCTCTCCTCCCGCACCCGCTGCTCCCCTCAGCAGTGTACTTCATCAGTCTGCCTTTTCTGCTCCCGACTCTGGCTCTGGTGAATTCTCTCACCCACCTGTGCTTCTGACTGTACCCAGTGCTTGTATAAATAAATAAATCTTAAAAAAAAAAAAAAAAAAAGAGAGAGGAGGAGGAGGAAGGGGAAGAAATGGAGGGAGAAGAGGAAGCAGAAGAAGGAAGAAAGGGCTTTGTACAGGGCCCACATAGAAAAAGTCCATAGAAAATAAATTTAGTAAGAGTAAAGAGCATACAAGGGACCTTTCGTCTCGGGATCTGGCACTCAGTATTGGCACAGTTTAACCAAAACCTTAAACATCCATTCCAGTGATTAACACTGTTCTGGCCCCAGGGATCACTTCTCTACCTCTCTTGCCCTGTCCTTGCAATAGAAGGCCACCATGGTTATGTATCAGAAAGGTTTGTGTCTTGTGCCACAATACTAGTGGAGGAGATGGTCACTGCTTGGAGCACAGGAAGGATTGCAGTGTCAACAGCACTTTCACAAGCGAAAACATAAGCTAATCAACATGTCCAATTCTTCCTCCCTATTTGAATGCAATCGATTCTTGCACAACAAACTATCATTCCAATATTTACCAAGTATTCAATTTCTTGTTTTTCTTCATATTCTATTCAGTGTTTCTGAAAGTTCTCAAAATTTTAAATTGTACTTTTAAGAGTTCACATGAATGAAAAAATTTGCAATATTCAGTGCTATGGGTTGAACTGTGACCCCCCTACAAATTTATGTGATGAAGTCCTAATCCCCAATACCTCAGAATGTGATCTTATTTGGAAATAGGGTCTTTACAGACATAATCGAGTTAAAATGAGGTCATTGGGATGGCTTGCAATTCAATATGTCAATATAGCTGATATTCTTATAAAAGGAGGAAGATCTGGAGATACACATCAGGAGAATGCCATGTAAATATCCAGGCAGACATTGGGGTGATGCACCCACGAGTCAAAGAATGCTGACAGATTACCAAAAGAAGAGAGAAGTTTTCCAGTTCTCAGAAGAAACCAGCCCTGCTAATCTTGGACTTCTAGCTGTTGGGACAGTGAGACAATACATTTCTGTTGTCTAAGCCACTTAGTTTGTGGTACTTTCTTCCAGTAGCCTAGGTAAACTAATACATTAAGTGTTGATATTACTCTTACATTTTTACAGGTACAGAATAATCTGTGAAGCATGATAGTGATTTTTTGATGCAATTAAAATAGTTGGGATATATTCTGCAATCATGATGATCATATGACCTCATTACTATATTGGAATATGACAAACAAAATTCTTAGTTTGCTAATAAATTTCTTAGCAAATCTAAGTATTGCTTTAAGAATGTCATTGATAATTGTGGTTGCTACTTGCTCCAGGGAGTATGGTTTCTCTAAATTAAAATTTGTCTTAAAAAATAATTACAACTCAGAAAAGTTTGTCTAATTTGGCAGTGTTGTCAATAAAAAACACACTACACAAAAATCTTATATAAAACAACACAGGTAGTTATTTTGCTAAAATGAAGGTAATAAAAAATTTAATGGAAAAATACATAAAAACCTATAAATTATATATAATATTTCCGGCCCATGTACAGAACATCAAGATATACATAATAATGATTAAAGTAGTCCTTTTTGATCATTCCTGACTTTCAGTCATGTAAGAATCATAACTGCATGTTTTTTTTTTATTTTGTCATTATGAAGGTATATTTGTAAATGTGGGAGGACAGAACATATTTCATTTAACAGTTTGCTAGCTTGATTTACAACTTTAAATACTTAGACGTGTGGTATGTGAGCCTCCATTTGTACTTATGCCTCAGGCCCTATAATTGTCAAAGGTGGGTCAGGACTCAACAATGATAGAAGAAATAAAGCCTGAAGCTATCAGAAGCCTAACTAACATCTCAAACTTGTTCTTCCTACAAATTAAAATGCCATCCTGCAAGCTTCATGTGAAAACCTTATGCAGCACTTAGCAGGAGTGACTAGCAGCTCATAGGCTTTGTTTCTTTTCTTTTCTTTTTTAAAGATTTATTTATTTATTTGTTTGTTTGTTTATTTATACAAGCACTGGGTACAGTCAGAAACGCAGGAGGGTGAGAGAATTCACCAGAGCCAGAGGGGAGAGCAGAGCAGGCAGAGTGACGAAGTACACTGCTGAGGGGAGCAGCGGGCACGGCAGGAGAGGTCTGCGCGCCATGTGGGACCTTCTCCCGGTGGCCTGGGATTGAACTGGCACTGCAGAGGCTGCGGGCAGCTTCGCAACCCAGCGCTCAACCGATGCGCCACCGGAGAGGCCCATAAGCTTTGTTTCTTATGTCAGTCACCAGAGTCTCAAAAGCCCTGAAAGTCCTTGCCAGTATAGTATAATAACATAGGGCTGTGTAGTCCTGTGGTTTCAAATGGTACTCAGTTTTCACCACGTTCCATATACCTAATATATTTCACTGTCCCACATATAAGGGTTGGATAATGGACTTACATTTTATTTCCTTGCAGTAATCCTGCTGTGACATCCTTCCAGAAAACAGAGCAATTTTATAAGTGCACTTGAGTCCTACCTTACTTTGGCAAAAGTACTGTGCACTTTTACAAGAGGCTTTCACAGTGAACCTCAATGTTGTGATATTCCCATGGCTATCATGGTGTTACACGCTACCTGTAGCCTTGTAAGTAAGGTTGTCTGCTTGTTGGAGGCTATAATGATAGGAAAGGGAACTGACATTCTATATAGGAGTTAGTCTTAAGAAGAGGGGAACTCTTAGAAATTGGATAAGAGGTAAGCAGTTGAGAAAGGAGGAAGAAAAATACAGTCATTGGTTTCTAAGAGAAAGAGAAAAAAAAGGGTATCGAAATGCCAGTGGGTGATGCACAAGTATGAAAACTGAGCTACAAAAGGCACCAATGTATTTCCTATTTTGATTGCATTTTATTGCAGTTTTCTTTAAGCAAATATAGCAACTATACATTTCATGTTACTGATGACTAATGTGATGGATAATTGGACAGCTAACACAAAACAGGCTATTTTTAGCTGTGGTTTAGCATCTTTAAAGAATTTTAATACCTTCTCCATAAATATCAGCTCACAAAAGTGGTATACCATCTCTGTATAAAATTCAAAATCATGAGAGACTCAGACTCAGTACATCAGAAAAGTGGCAGCAAAGAATGAATGAAAAGGGCAAGAAGCAAGGACATATCTATATTTAAAAATAACTTTGATAATGAGAAAGAAATGCTCTGATGCAAGTAGAACTGGCAGTAAATCAATAGTTCAGTGCTTATTAGGACAAGCAGATTAGTGAAACACATTAATCAACCTGGGATACAGATTATCAACTACATTTGAAACACAGATTAACAGGAACAAATAAAATACCAGGGTGGGAAGTATTTTCACAGCAAGGAACAAAAGTTTCCCTCTTTGTTTAAGTAAGACTTCAAAAGTATTTCACATATCAACCAATAGTGAGATCATTTAAAAAAAAAAAAAGATTGACTTCAAGAAATACAAGGCACAGTGAACACTCTTCTGACCTGTTTGCAGATCAATCAACATTTTCTACCTGGGCAAGTAGAATGCAATTAGCACTGGGGTGATTTTAAAGACTCTTTTCCAGTTGCTTTTAACTGGCTGATGTAATAGCAGAGCAGTGTGGCTGAAGGCCAATGTTTATTTTTACCCATTACCTGTTTTATTAATGGGATTGTGGGTCACTGGGCCTCCAGGCACACACAAATATATTAAAATATCCCACACTATAATTAAGTGGCACAGAGGGGATTAGAGCAAATTAAGTGGCTGTTATACTTGCCATGGGTGTAGTCTAGGTTAGACATTTCGATGCTTTCATGGCAAAGTCCAGTGAATTTTACTTCAGAAATTTACAAAATAGGGAACATATTTTCTTGCAATCATTTTATAAATGGGTCTTATAAATGGGCTATCCCACCAAATAAAATTATACATAAAGAAAAAGGCATAAATTGGATGCTTCCTGAGCAAAAGAAGAGAATGTCCTAACCAGTACAAAGAACAAATGCACCAACAATAGTCTCAGTTAAAGAAACTGCAGCTTTAGGCTCTATTACCAAGTGACTTAAAATTTATCAAATGTCAAAGTAACTCAATCCAGACATAGAGCTTTCTCCTTCATGTGAGTCAGAGTTAGTGCCTCTGGGTTTTTTAAAGGGAATAAAAATAAAGTGATCACCTATTGTTGACTTGCTCAATAACTAAAGTATCAGAAATGCTTGCAGAAATGTACAACAGTCCCTCTTAAGCTAAAGGCTAGAGTACAGATTCTGACACCAGCACTGCATCAATCTTTGTTTGATTTTACCAAATCCATTATTGTAATTAAATAATTAATCTTAAAATAGCAAATGTAACTAGATCTATACTTCAATCTTCAGAATCAACATTACCATGCTTAAAATTTCTGCCCAGGCTGGTCTCCTGTGAATCTTCACATGAGAGAGAAAGCGTAATGGAATGTGGGCAGGACAAAATGGAATGAAATCTGGAAACAGTGTTTTGGCCCAAGCAGAGCACAACATTGCCTTTGCCCTAGAAATCTCTGGAGGAACCCTTAGCAAAGACAAGTGAGGAGATATAAAGTACTTACGAGGATCCTGGACTTGCCGTTGGAGGGGGGCCTGAAGAAATGAAAGAAAAACAAAAGAAACAGTCATTCTAAATTATTGGAAGGTGAGCAGGGGTCTAGTCAAACCATTACAAATTAAAATTCTTAACCACCCCAAGGTGATATTTATTTTTCTGGGATTTTTATTTTGCTTGAGTTTCCCCCGCCCACCTCTATGAAAAATCATTCCAGTGAGAACGTGTTGGTAACTCACAGTTCAGAGCCTGATAAATGCTATGACAAGTGCTTAAAAATGAGTCAAGAGAGTAGGCATCCTCATGATGTCGGGAGTTTCCAGCGGGGGTTGGGGGTTGCATGAGGACACTGCACAGCAAGCAGGGATCTTTGATGTTTCCAAATTCTCTAAGAACATCCTTCCTCAGAGGAAGGGCTCACTGATACAGGGGCTTAAAGTAGGGGCAATGGAGTCAGACAGATCTGGATGTCACTGATGCTCTGCTGTTTACTAGCTGGACAGCCCTGCCCATGGTACTTAAAACGACTAGGCCTTGGTTTCCTGATTTGTAAGATGATGGGTACAACTTTAGGGTTGCTGGGCACTTAGATATTCTCTATGTGCTCACCCCAGAGAGGCTGAAGGCCAAGGTCAGCTCCACTCAGAGATCACTTACCAAATTTGACAAACAAGACCCCAGTGGTAGAAACCACCTTCTTGCCATTTGTCGCCACACACTGGAAGTAGCCCGTGTCTGTGGTGTCCAGGTTTCTGATCCGCAGCCGAGAGCCATAGCTGGTTGCCCGAAAAGAGATCCTCCGGGGCTCCTGGACCACAGGTGCGTCATTTTTGAACCAGCGGATAGTGGGAGGTGGATTCCCAGAGACTTTGCAGTGCAGTTCTGCTGTCTGTCCCAAGGAGGTGGTGATGTTATTCATGGGTTCATCGAGGGTCAGGTAAGAATCTGTGACATAGGGCAAAGGAGGCGGATGAGAGCAGCAGACAGCTGAGTGCCTCTAAGCAACCCAAATCCACTCCAGGGTGCCCCAGGAGCACAGAAACTGAACAGCAGCAGCAAGGTGGAGTCAGGCATGAAATTATACTTTTACCAAGACCCCATGGCTGCTAAACAATCACCACCGAGTCTGCAGATTGGAAAGACATTTGTTATTACCTATAGTATAAAACCTAAAGTTTTAAAAAAAACTAGACAGTACCAATGGATAAATGTACCTTTTAGACCAAGACAGCATGAGATTTTGTGTTTTAGAGTATTTAAAAAAAAAACTCCTTTGTTACAAACTTAAATAATGCGATGAAGAAGAGAAAAAAATTTAAATTCACCTCGAATCTTCCAAACCTCAAATAATACAATTTTAGCATTCTGGCAAAGATCCTTCTAGCATGTCTGCTTTTGATAAGAAGGAAAGCATGAAAAACTGGAAAAGTAGGAGCAATGTATTCAAACCCACATAGCGCAACATCAGGAAGGACCCCGGAAATCTTCCCGCCAAGGATGATATAAGGGTTATGAAGGCAGGGGTCTCTGGCAGACAAAGTAATGAAGTTATGAACATTTCCATAACCATGTTCATATCAACCACATGTTATAATATATAATTCTGTGCATTCAACTTTTAACTGAGATGTAATTTATGTTCTATGGAATGTAGTTACACCATTCTAGAAGTACAGACAGATGCATATACTAATGTAACCAATTCTCTTATTAAGACAGAACAACATCAACACCCCAGAAAGTACACCTAAGATCTTCTGTAGTCAATCCCTACCATAATGGTTTTACCTATTCCTTCAACCCCATACCAGACAACTACAGCTCCAATTCCTACTATCATTAATTTCACCGGTTCCAGAATTTTGTATAAATCAAATCAAAGTGTAAGTACATCTTGCATTCGGTGTCCTTTGAGATTATATTAAACTATTTGATGCTGAAATTAATTTTATTTAAGTGTATTCTTCAATAAGATGTTAAATATCATATTGATATTAGTTGTGGAACCCAGTCACGGAGAATGTAATTTATTGTTCGAAAATTAAGTACAATAATTTTTAAACTGGGCTATTATTTACATAGATGAAGTTTTGTTTGATTTCATGTTCGCTGACCGCCCATCCTTGAGCAGATGCATGACCATACCCTCCCATCGCCTTCTGCCCTTCTCTTAGTGCCAACAGACATTAGACAGCTTTCTTCACTTCAGAGCTATAAACGCCATAAAAGCAGGCATCCCGAATGTTTTGGTCACTAAGGCATCTTTCAGTGTATCCTAATGTGTAGCAGCATTGTTAGAATTCTCTACAATGATGGAAATATTCTATAATCTGCATTATCTGATTAGTAGCCAGTAATTACTAGCCACAGGTTAAGCTATTGAGTATAAGAAATTTGACTAAAGCAACTGAGGAACAGATTTTTTTTTAATTTAAATTTAAATAGCTACATGTGTCTAGCAGTTACTGCATGGAATATCACAGAGAGAAATTTATTGAACTTAATTGAAAAATAACCATTTTTGAGACATTAAACTAGCTAACTTAACCACTCAAATGGCTATAAAATAGTTTTATAAATGACCAAAATCAATAATTTAAAAATTCAATATTTGCTTTAATTGAGTAGGGATGTTGTGAAAGTCTGGGGAGCCCTACAGGAGTGTGCCATGTGTGGTTGGCATTTATCATTGTTGTGGGGTGGAATATAGGTAAACATGACCATCACTTGCTGTGTGACATAATGATACTTCTCATCTCACTTAAGCCACTGAATAAATATCTTTCACAACAAGAATCATGAACTCATGAATGACTTTGTATCTTTACATTTATGTTCTAATCTCTATCTTTGGACATGTTTCTTTTTCTTTTAAATAGGTTTTTTGAGGCAACATTGATTTCCAACACTGTCTATGATTTAAGGGTATAGGTTCAACTTCTACAAATGTAAGTTATCATACTACGCACATTACCAAAACATCAACAATCCTCCACCATACTGCACTGAGCCTCCCTCCCAGCTTGCTCCACCCACCACTATCCCCTTCTGGTAGCCTTAACTATGTAGTCAGATTGCAAGGGTTTGTTTTGGATTATTTTGTCTGTTTCTTTGTTTCTTTCTATTCCACATGAGTGAAATCATCTGGTATTTGTCTTTTTCCATCTGACTTATTTTGCTTAGCATAATCCTGTCCAGTTCCTTCCATGTCACAAATGGTAAAATTTCAAATTTCATACTTTTTTTTAATAGCTAAGTAGTATTTCATTGTGTATATATGCCATCTTTTTATCCATTCATCTGTTGTTGGGCCCATAGGTTGTTTCCATAGCTTCGCTACTGTAAATTGTGCTGCAATGAAGATAGAAGTGCATATATATCCCTTTGAATTAGTGTTTTTGCATTCTTTGAATAGATACTTAAGAGTGGAATTTGCTGGATCATATGGTAGATCTATTTTTAATGATTTAGAAACCTCCATATGGATTTTACAGAGGCTGAACTAGTGGACATGTTTCTATAATCAGTAAACATATATACTCAGTTCGTGATTGTATTTGCTCAATGATAGAAGCATGTGTTCCCAAGATGTCTGAGTTATGTCAGAGTAGAGAGACCAACGAATAGGTTACTTTTTGATGCTATCTTGATTTTACAGTCCTATCACATACCTAGAAAATGGGTAACTATGTTTTCTTTGTAGAAAACAAATGTAGAAATAGCCATCACATAACAATGCCAATATAAGCATACTGATTAAAACAGTCAAATACAATTTGATTGATGGGGTTTGAACCCCAGGTTTGCCCCTCCACCTATTGTGTGACCTTCAGCAGGTAACTTAACCTCTTGGTACCTCTGTTTAATCATTTGAAAACTAGGAATAATAAGCAGGGTTCTAACTGGCCAAAGTGTTAAGAGGATTAAAATTAAATGGAGCAACCCATGGCAAACATCAACTACTATTTGGCAATAAGTAACCCTTAAATGTGTTCATCAATTCTATTACCAGTATCTACATTAATGGTTTCCTTATAATGCTTTTACTCTGTATCCTGTTACTCTCTAACAATCCAGTGAAGTAGAAAAGGCACATTAATTATCATGCCCTCCAGGGACAGATGAGGGAATCAAGTCTCAGAAATCAGCTGACTTGCTTATGGACCCACAGTAAGACACATGCTTTGACCAAAGCAATAATGTTTGTTCCCTCCCTACCTCTCTCCTTCATCTCTCCCAAGCAGTTGCTTCTCAAGTCCCAGCAAGCTTTGTGGCCAAGCTCACGTAACATATAATGTCAAAAGGGGAGCTACAACTATTTGTCTTGACTCTAAACTCTAGCTGCTTTGCATACCACAATTTCAGACACACTGTGCTTCAAGTCTTTTCTTCTAGGAACATAAATTAGCCAAGAGTCAAAGAGTTATGTAACTGGCTGGAGTATTTCAACTATACTCTGAAAGTGGATTGAAATTTATGGAAAACAATAAAGTTAGTATGGGCTGCAATCAACCCTCTGCTGGTTCTGTTACGTGTCAACTGTGTGACCTTGGGAAAGTTATTTAACCTCTCCTTGTCTCCGTTTTGTTACCTGTGAAATCAGTATAACAACTGTCTCTTTCTCATAGGAGGATTAAATAAAATAGTACCTGGAAAGTGCTTAGAATAGGGTCTGACACAGAGCAAACAGGCTATGAACGTTTCTGTTATCATATTACCTATTTTTTACTTTTTCTTTTTTCTCACAAATATCTTATTCTTAAAGGCAGGGCACGATCATCCATCCAACTCTTTGGTTTCCTGGTCAAATACTGTCCTGAATTTATAGAACTGGGGTGAGACCACTTGCTGAAGACCACATAAGTTATAACTGCAGGCCAGAGAGGTGAATTTGTCCATGACACCCTAATAAAATACCTGAAAACAAATATGAGAGTTCTAGTCTAGTGGCTAGCTCAAGCACTTTGTTTTCAGAGAGAGAAAAGAAAATGTAAACAAATCTTTGTGTTTCCTGAACAAAGGAGCCTCGCAAAAACACAGGCAATTTGATTTTAACTTTTTACTGATAAAGAAAAATGCTCAAAGTTGCTTGCCATCTGTAGCTGCTTGCTTAGTAAGTAGAACAAGCAACTGGTCTGGTCCTCAGTTTGGCAAAGACTGGAAGCATCAGAACAATATTTGGTCTAAACAACATGAAAGCATTTTGTGACTGGAATAAAATAAAGTAAAAATGCATGTCTGTATCATTGCTATCAGTCTTGTTGTTAACAAGCCCCTGGCCATGGGCCATTCTCTTCCCCAGAACCAGCTGGATCCTTCTGTAGCAGCCTCATGGGCCACATGAAGGGATCCCCTCTCATCTCCAACCCAAATTGTGGTGTGACCATTGCATGTTCTGAACTAGCCTTCTTTTCAGATGACACCTGGGCATCTCAGCAAAGAGGCCTGGTGCAGAGGAAATCTGCAAACTGGACCTGATACCTGTTCTGCCAATAACTAGTTGTTTATGTGAGGCAGTCACTTCTCCCTGGGCTTTGGATTCAAGATCTGTCACATGTGCCTGTGGGGCCTACTGTTCTTGGAACAGTTTATGTTTCTAACATGCAGCCAAAGAATCACTGGCATGTTCTGACCCACTGAGCTTAACCCACTTGAGCTTGCCAGACAAAGCAATGTGGCCTCAACATTTAAACCTGGTTATTTGTACTTTTTCTTGGTGGCTTGCTTCAGAAGCTCTGACAAGTATGCTTGAGCTGTGGAAGTGTCCTCATCCTTTTTCCCTTCTTCCCTAGACCACAAATGTTGAGATGGTAGATGGGTGAGTGGGAGGTGGGTATAATCTGACGAGAGAAAAAAAAATTACAGTTTTGCTGACTCTACCTTCAACTCCATGTCCCTGAATGACTTATGTCTCCCAGGGGTGGTACGATTAATGATGATGACAC